CGTGTCCCAGAACTGCAGCTTGATCGTCACGCCCGGCTCGACCTCCAGGAAGTGCACATAGAAGTCCACCCCGACTGTCTGGTTAATGCTCTCCAGGAACTGGTCCTCTGTGTAGCGCTTGATCAGCGAGGATTTGCCCACCGTGGAATCCCCCAGCATGATGATCCGGAACTGGTACTGCCACAGCGTGAGATCCATGGCGCCAGCTGACCGCGGGTGGGCGGAGGGGAACGCTTCGGAGGCTGGTGGGAAGGGTGTGGAGTCCTTCTGCTGGCAGGGGGTTCCTCTGGGCAGGCAGGGCAGAAGGAGCGATGCTGTCTAGGAAGGCAAGTGTCAGGAGGGCATCACATGGCCGGTGTCACAAGTCGATGTGCGTCTGTCTCTCAGGCGGTTTCTGCCTGTGCAGCCTCTTTTCCTGGGAGCCACGCTGCCGTCGGCTCGACCCAGCCCCCAGACCGTGGCCCGCTCGCAGAGTCCCTCTTCTTTAAGGAAATGAGAAGGCAGGAAGAAGCGGCGGAGGAAGAGCTGGTGGTGGGACCCGCGGCGTGTGTGGCAGGCGCGATAGTGCACTGCTCTTCCAGGGCAAACACGCCACGCAGACAAGACAACCTGTTGATTCTCAGGCAAGGGAGTGATATAGTGAGGCAGAGAGAAAGTGGCAGGGTGGTGTCTCTACAGACAGGGTTGGCGGGGGGGGGGGGGGGGGGGGAGGGGGGGGGGAGGGCGGAGCTGCAAATCACCCAGGGGAGTGCAAGTTCTCTGTACCATATCGAGACAGGTTCTGCTTTTCCTGTTGGGAGCTGCTCACTGCAAGTCTCGTCCAGTACAAGAATGAGAGAGGGCGGGAGAGCGGGGAGTTGGGGGGGGGGCACTGTCCAGGAAGGGCTGTTCCTGGTCACAGAACTATGCAATAATAGCTCAGCCAAACCCAGAAAAACAGGCTCAAGTACAAAGACTTCAAGCACAAAAACTCATGCTATGCATTGCTTTAATATTCTATTATATTATAGATATTTCTATTGCGTATGTTTCGAGGAGGTTGCATGACGCAGGTACAAGACAACCTGATTTAATTTATTTGCTGCCCTACTATGCATAGTTTACTCCACCTTCATATAACATTATGAGAACCGTGGGATTTGGTGGCCAGTCTGAAAATCCCGTTTAGCGCTACTAGAAGATGAGGATATTCCGCTTATGGTTGATCTGAGGGGTTATGGTCGGTGCAGGGGGGGCTGTTTTTTTTTTTCTAGGGATTTCCAACCTCCTCATTTTTAGTTCATCAGCCAACACACACACACACACACACACCACTGGTTGCATTTTCCATCTGTAATTAGCGTAGGACACCAAAGGAGCTTAGTGTTCAGGACCACGTTATGTGACATTATGTTGTCCCATCAGTCCCACATTGTCACCCCACTTCCCTTTGGATTAAAAACCCGCCAGTGATGGATGCAGCCACACTTATTTCAGCTCGAAGCAGAGCTTTTTCCAAATGAAAACTGAGACGAAATAGACTCACAATTAGTCACAATGGCCCAAGCTATTAGAGAGGGTGGTGACTCTGAGGAGTTTAGAATGTGTAATCCCCTTTTATTTTAGCGTTTAAAATTTTTTTTTGGGCTAAGTCGCATTTTTACATGCTAATCTATGTGCAGTTTTGAAACACTCTCATACTATGACATATTCTCACACAGATGCCAGCTATGTTATCTTTAACAGGGAGCTGTAAGCTGCATTGTTTACCTTTTTCCTCTGACAGGACCAGGAAGGTTACTGTCACTTTTAGACATGTAGCACATGTCCAGGCTGATGGAAATCAGAGCTACCAGGTCCACTGGGAGCTTCGTGCCGTAACACACACGCTAGTTTGATAAAGTCCTCTTGTAAAGACCGATAGCTTACAGTTACATAAAACCCATTGTGTTACAAAGCACATTTACTATTGTGTTTGACATAAATACTGATAATGTACTTTTACAATATAAATACTATTTAAATATAATCCTTTACAAAGCTTTTACAAAAGCTGGTTTCATTTTAGTCATTTGTTATATATTAAAATAAATGATGTTGTTGAGACGAAATTTCTTGTTCCACCGGTTGAACAAGAAGATTGAAGTAATATTTTCATGAAGAGGTACCTGAGAAATTTCAGCTAAGCTTATATTTATCTGATATTAAAGCAGCAAATGCTCTGACCTGATGACAACATAAAGAAGCTGGTAATGAATTTCTGTGGAAGGAGGCCCAAACAAATCACACACAGGTGGGATTTGAACCCATAACCTTGTGGCTATTATTACTGTTGTTGTTCTAGTTATTATTTATTATTGTTGTTATCCATCCATCCATCAGTTTTCTATACAAGCTAATCCTATGCACGATCGTGGGCATCCGGAGCCTGTCCCGGGAATTATTGGTACAAGACAGGGAACAGCCCAGGATGGGGAGCCAACCCATAGCAGGACACACTCACACACCATTCACTCACACATGCACACCTGTGGGCAATTTGGGAACTCCAATTAAACTCAGCATGTTTTTGGACCGTGGTGGGACTGGAGCCCAGAGTACCAGGAGGAAACCTCACGGTGACACAAGGAGAACATGCAACACACTGAGCCATTATTATTTGTTTTCGTGGTTGTTTTTCTTGTTATGTACTAGCCTTGTATTATAGCACCCGAAACAGAAATGATCAGTGTATGATGAAATCTACAGGGTTGGTGTAGAAAGTCACCTTTACTATGGAGACGTTTGATATTTGTAATCATACCCATACGCAAACACGTCAATGCAAAGGGCAGGGACTGTGCATATGGGTGGAGAACGTCGTTGCTAAACCCCTGAGAAATTAGCCTGGTAAATATTTAGCTTGTTAAGTTGATTATTATCGCCGTCATTCTGATAAATTAGGCCTTTTCATTTTAACGCAAGGGGGCGCCCAAACACACACGTTTCAACCGTTATCAAGCTTTGTGAACGTTTATGTATCTGACTTTTTCGGAGCACAGTTTAGAAGACATTTCCCAGACGTTTTGCATGTTGAAAAACTTTGCATCATCATCGATCCAGGCAGCTGATATTTGCTTGTATGGGAAGATATCCAAGGTAGCCCAAACCCTTCCCGGTTTGGGATGACGTGGAATTGTCTAGTTTTTGCAGTATCGTGAACGCCTCTGTTAGAAATGCAAAACATGTGTCATGGCTAAGCCGTTCATTGTATCGTGTGCTGGCTAAGGTCCACATTGCGCTTTGTTAATGCCTGGGGTGGATAAGGTTACACAGACTGCTACTGCAGTTATCATTAGGTAGTTCAAGTTTTAAAATGCTGCTGCGCATTTTAAAGCCAGTGCTGCTCATTCAGAGCAGAGAGAGAGACATACTGCGACAATAGGTGCGTCCTTTTTAAAAATTAGTTTCGAATAAAAGCAGCAACCATTTTTTTTAATTATTATTTTTCGTAATTAATATTCGTTCTTTTTTACGCTGATAAATCAAGATAACTGTCCGGCTAATTGTTTAATTTTTCCCTTCTAAAAGTGAGTTTTTGCACTACATGGTTATGTTTCCAGAATATAATGTATTATTTACGTAGTCATGCCGCAGGCGAATGTGGGGCAGCTACCTGCAAACACAGTGACGTAGCAAACGTTCAAGGAACATTTCTCTAACGTTGCCTCCGGCACTTCAGCGTCCTTGCGGACGATCCGTTTAGTTGCCCTCCATTAATGTTTCAGTTGACCAGCATCAGTCCTTTTCTGGCATAAATAATTCAGTAATTGAAAGATTGTAGGTTCGAATCCCCAACCAGCAAAGTTCCCCGCCCCCATGCACTGTTCTCCGGGTGCCAAATTAGCTGCCCTCTGCTATGTCATATATGGTTTAAATGCAGAGGACACATTTCATCGTTGTTGTGTGCTGTGCTGTGTCAACAATGACCATTGATCACTCAATTCTAATCTAGAGTTCATCGAACAGATGTGTAACATGTAAGTATTATACACATATACAGAAGTTGAAACAAGATGTCAATGTATTGGTGGATTACCATTTAACTGCAAGATTAATAGATGAAAACATTGCTTTCATCATAACAAGCTGTATTCAATAACCCCCAAGAGCACGAATCATTAATATTTTTGTATGCTACATGTCGTTTATTAAAGTTATTGAGTTATAACAACCAGATAAATTGTATGCAACACCGCTATGAAGCTATGTCATATTAGTGCTAAATGACACAGTGTGGCTTCACACATCCAAGGTTTTAGGTTTGTTTACCAGCTGTGTGTGTGTGTGGTGCAGGTGTACCTTACCTTGTGGGGACCTATGACCAGTTTCCTGGTCCCCATAATGGAATTTTCTGTTACTGCAATTAAAAAACTAAAAATGCCAGAACTCTAGTATTTTGTGTGGTTACATATGTTGTGTTTAGGGCTGGGTGGGGGTTAAGGTTAGCATAGCGTTAGCATTTTGCCCATATAAATGAATGAGCCGTCCCCACAAAGATATGATTACAGGTCTGTGTGTGTGTGTGTGTGTGTGTTTCCTTGGTTGCAGGTAATAGTGTGATGGACCTCTGATGGACTGGCATCCATGGATAAGATCCAGGATCCCTCTGCTAATTAACAATGATGCAAGATGTACAGGAGGACGCTCTCTTTAATTAAACCAAGACGAAATTACATATTTGGATTTGTCAGCCCTCAGTCTTGTGTGGGAAGTAATTTGTATCAGCTTCTGTCAGTCTCCCTTAAAAGGAGGCCAGATCTGTCATCTTCATCTGAAATCTCTGTCAGGTACTGCCAGTCTCTGTGAGAGAGGGAGTGCAAGAGTCTCACCTAATTACTGTCAGTGTGTAATAATGAGTCTCTTTCAGTTTCAGTCTTTGTCAGACACAGCCAGGTCTGGTGATGGACACTTTGGGTGCAGAATTTCATGGATACATCCACTGACAGTGAGGAAACAGGTTGTGGAAAATAGACACCAAATTAAATATTCATTTGTGTTCTATATTTTTCTTGATCAGCTTTACCAAAAATTCTGCTGAAGGAAACTAATCAGAGATTAGAGACACACTGTAAATGAAAGAGCTACCGAGATCAGAAGTCAAAATTCGATACAGAAGTTCAAGTTCATGTCTGTCCTATGACTTGACCACTGACGCTCTCTGCATCCCACGCCCTTGATATGATTTTTCCTGTTGCAATGGCTGTGTTGGGGGGGGGGTATGGGGGGGTTGCCATGGTAACCAGGTCACGAGTGATTGAGCCAGATTACTGCCGAACTTTGAAGCACTGGAGTGTAATTCAGACTCTAGACCCAAACATATGGTATAAACTGAGGCATACGTACATAAAAGTTGAAATATCACATCATGCCTATCAATTATCTGATGGCTGATGAACATGTTCTGGAACATTCTGGTATCTTAGTCTTTTTTTTTTCTAACGGTACTGTGCCATTTCACTGGCAGTGTACCTTCCTGTATTTCACCATTTCTGAAGCTATACATGCTCATTGCTGCACTATGGAATACATCTTGCCATACCATCGCACAGGGCAGAAGGATTAAGCAAAGCAAACAGGCTTTAAATAGATGACCTCTCCATCCAGGGAGATGTCTGTGAATCTGCAGCATGCTTCTCGCTTAAAGAAATAAAGCTGTTTTTATTTAGCTGTGGTTTCATTATGTACTGTACTCTCGGTCTGGCGGGAAGGCAGCTGCACCCTCTGCAGGAAGTCAGAATGAAAGCAAAGCCCCCCCACTGGTACTCTCTACCCACTACAGCGCCCACACCAAGTGACTTCAGTGACGGGGGGTAGGACAGACCCTCGCTTGTGAATAATATCTCACTAATTATGGCGCTGTGATGCCAAGCTGGGCCAGTGATGACACAATGACACAATGTGTGGGGTAATGTGTCTCCATTTATGGTACCGAGGCCCCCCCCCCCCCTCCAAGGTCAGCCTGCATGATTCCCTTCTTGTGAACAGAAGATGACAGATGGCATAAATTCAAAATATACAAACCTACAACTTATTACTAATCCTTACAGAAGGTGGATATACAGATTACAGCATCCTTTTTTTTGGCTTGTCACATATTTGAGTCGAGATTTTGATGTGAAGAACAGAGCAGCTCTCGGTTAACGTTTACGAAATCGGCACCGCGATCCTTTCCAACACTCGACAGTAACCGACAGATGGCAGCCTTGCTAAGTACCTGCAGGGCAGAGGAACTGGGCCGGAACTGAAGCCACTCAGCCGTGTTCTGATCATGCAAAGTCAGCACAACAGAACGAGCTTTCATTTGCCAAGGGCAAGGAAGGGCACCATGTTCAGCGTACAGTGTTATCTGCCCCCCCATCCCACACAGTGTTAGGGGGTTGAGGTTATATGTGTGTGAGTTGGAGGGGTATTCCCATTTCTGGAGGGAGAGTCAGTTGTTAATGCTGAGTCATTCAATCTGTTCCTTGCACATGTATGACACAACACAGTGATGGGTTACATTCTTATTGACATAGTAAACCTATCCTGTTCTCTATGACCATCCCGACTGCAGGTCTGATCCATGGTCCTCAAAGCACACCTCTCAATTCAAAAGATCTCCTTCTCTGAGTATAACGGCTCTCTGGTGTCTCATCCCGACAGTCCTGACCCAGTTCTTGCCCAGTCCCCCTGAACCCTGGGATAGGAAATCCCATTCCTAATCGCCTTATTATTCCAGGGTCCTCCCCCACCTCTGTCATGTGCTTCTGTTTTCTGCCCCCAACTGGTGTGATTTTCACACAGCGCTAGTGCAAACAGAAGCCTTATTTGGTGCTACAGACAGGCTGCCGGCCCACAATGATGACATCACAGCAGGAGCTGGCTTGTGCATACTATAAAGAGTTTACAAACAGACAAACTCCTCTGCGATGGATTCAGGCAATGGCAGGGGGATTCGGTGCCACTTCATGTAGGCTTTTGTTAACATTGACACCTTTTCTCCTGCTCAGTGTCTTCCTGGGGCAGGTAGAGAGCTCGGGCACTGAAACCACACTTGACACCATCCCAGCCCTCGTAAGCAGAGATTTCGCCGCGCTTCATCATCTCGTAGATGTCGCAGGTGAGCATCTCGAAGGCCCGGTCTACGTTGGTGTTGCACTTGGCCGACGTCTCCACGTATCGAATGCCCAGTGCCGCCGCCAGACGCTCCCCTTCCTCCCGGGACACTTTGCGTTCCTTCACCAGGTCGCTCTTGTGGCCAACCAGGATGTAGAGCATTTGGTGCGGGGTCACATGCTCGCTGACCTCCTGCTGCCAGTCTCGAATGTGCTCAAACGTCTTCCTGCTGGTCAGGTCGAACACCAGCAGCCCGCCAACCGAATTCCGGTAGTACGAGCTTGTTATCGACCTGGTGAGCATGGAACAGAGTTTATGATTGCAGGAACATTCTAATTAATTATAAATTGACTTGAAACAGGGAAACGTGGCTGCTTATTATTTATAATACCACAAACTTTTTAGATGCCCGAGACTGAGTTTACTGAGAGCCCTGTGACTGCAGATCCACCATTTCCAGGGCTGCTGCAGCAAACACATTTGCTAAAACCTCAACAAAAATGGTCAGCTGGTCATGCTGTCCGTTGCCTGGCAATCGTGGCAACAGGACCATGAGCAGATGGGGGAAATAGTGAAGCCCTCCTCCCCTGTTTCGGCAATGTTTCTCAAAGCTTCAACCAGACTTAATATTAAAAAAAAAAACAAGAGGTCTCCATAGGTCGTCTGTTTATAATTGAACGTGTTTTCTGATAGGCAATGCATATTGAGAAGGATAGTTTCGGGTATCTTAAATATAATTAACATAAAATGTAAATTTCCTCTGCGTATCGCCTTCAAACGCCGAAAAGCAAATTCGTTAGCTGCACTAATTTGTAAAAGCGTGCATGTCACTATGGCGAAACATGCGAAATTTGTGGTTTCCTTTTGCTCATTTGCCCCTGTGGTGGAGGCGTTTTCCGCGGATAAAATAGCCTCCTCGTTTGCTGCTGAAAACTACGTTTAGCATGATTTTCAGTTAGAAAGATTTTTTTCCAGTGCTTTGCTGAAGCAACGCTCCATGACATTTTATTTTATTATTGATATTGAAGTGATGATAAAGCGTGGCAACGTATTTACATCCGAAACGAAAGTGGAATTACTTGCGCAACAAATCATTCGCAATTTAAGCAAAACGATATGTAATCGCATGTCATTCCACGTTTTTCATTTAAAGGCATCTTTTCATGAATGGAGCTCTACATCGGACATAATGTGCTAAACAATAACAGTGATCACCTGAAGCGCTCTTGACCGGCCGTGTCCCAAAGCTGCAGTTTGATTTTCACCCCAGGCTCGATCTCCAGTGACCGAGCGTAGAAATCCACCCCCACGGTCGGGTCCGCCACATCGCTGTATACCCCGTCCGTGAAGCGCTTCAGCAAAGACGACTTGCCCACTGTGGAGTCCCCCAGTAGTATGATCCTAAACTGGTACTGCCATAACATATCCATAACATATCTGAAACGGCGCGGCTCCGGCTTCTGCGCAAATGAAGCGGGATCCCCGACTGACAGCCGGTCTGTAGGACGCGCGCTGGCTCCGTGGGTCGCGACTGGGGCTGTGCGCCAGTCATGTGATCGCGTCTTAACTAGAGGGCAGGCTCCTGTATTTTAGGGAATGGATTATATAAGAGGCATCGCTTACGTACATTCGGATCTTAGAATGAATTCAGTAAATTGCCAAAGTCATATCAATATTTAATATTTATGAACAATAATATGGCAATATAAGTTGTCCAGCCCAAATGGTATTTTAGGTGATAATCGAAGCTGAGGATTAGGAACCATTCTCCGCAGCCTGTCTTGCGTTTAATTTATTGCACGCTAACTCCCAGATGCTCATTTTTTAATACATTTGGCAAACCTGTTTTTTTTTTTTGAGAACTCACGTGACCCTTTTTATAAATTATGCATCGTCTCATTTTGCGTCTGCCCGCTTTTATTTCTGTGCTGTGTAAATCTTTCGTGCACCTGATTCGTTTTATTGCTAAAGCACTTGCTGTCATACGATTTGTCGATATTTAACCACACGCCAGTATTGCAATCGTGCTATTTTTAAATGTTTAAGTCGGCCTGCATCTTAACTTTCGTAAAACGTCTGTCACTCTGACATTTGCAGACGGGTTTCTTTCACTTTATGAACTTTATATAGGCTGTGAAGTTTTAACCTTACTTATAAGGATTAATTGATGCTATGTTCTGAAAGACCACAATAAATCTGGTTTCAAAAGGACCGTTATAAAACTCTAAAGTCATCCAAGGTGAAGGACCCTTGGTGACGACTATCCATGGTACTGAAAGTAATAACCAACTTATGTCGCTTAAAACTGCGTAATTATAGGATTTAGCTTTCAATTGTCTGTCGATACATGGGTCAAGTCGTGTTTTATTGTTATGTATTATTTACATAACTTACTCTAATTGCCTAAAACAATTGCGTGCTAGGACACAATAAAATTCATCAATTTCTTCAATTTTCTGCAAAAAATAAAATGAAAATGATAAAAATAAAGAATATTTTTCTAAGGAGCTCCCCTATAAGGAAGCTGAAAGTAACTTAAGCCTCGAAATAAGACGCTACGAATAAAAAGCTTAATGAATCGGAAGCTGCAGATAAGTAGCTAACTTAAGCCGCGTGTGACTGCCATTAGTTTCGGCGACACGGGCGACCATGGGCAAGAAACACAAGAAAGTAATCGGCAAAGGCACTGAGAAGCGCAGCAGTGATCAGTAGCTCCGCGCACCGCCCCGCTCCGATTAACACATATTTGCATGCAGTGAACTTGAAAAGGAAAAACCAAACTAGGAAATGAAAAGTCAAATTGGAAAATGAGACGACAAAAAGGGTTTTTAATTTTATTTTTCAATTTTTCACATCTGACTCATACATGAGTGGAAAAATTAAATGCAAATGGTGCTATTTAATTTTAATTTTTGCAGGATTTTTGCGCACAGACTTTGGAAAGTAAATGGCAAAGTGGAGATTGTATTTTATTTTTATCATTTTCATTTTATTTTTTGCAGAAAATGCCTCCCATACAGTAAACAGTTCGACCGTTGGTATATACTGGTTGGTATATTGTAGTATTTTCATAGAATAAGCATGAATTCCCCCAGGCAGTCCATGTCATGAACACTTAACAATGTCATGTACACTTAACAATACACGTGGTACACACAACACTAAAACAAATTATTTAACACACACGCTTATTTATTTTTCATATTTTCACATATCAACATACCTATACAAACACATCATACTGGAATGTCTTCTTGCTATTTTGCACGCTACTTTGTATATCTTTGTATATCTGTATATAACTCTTTTTATTACCTGTGTCTTGTCTTGTCACTGTCTTTCTGTTGCACTGTAGAGTTCTGTCACTACAACAAATTCCTCGTATGTGTCAACATACCTGGCAATAAAGCTTATTCTGATTCTGATTCTGATTAAAAGAACTTTGTTTCCCAGCATGCCTTGTTTTCTCAGGCGGTAGTGAGCCAATCAGCGACACGGATATCCCGTACATAAAGGAAATCCAGCCCGCATCTCTTTCTTTGGCTTCCCTTGTAGTGCAGTATGGTATGTACTTCTTGCTCTGTTTTGCAATCCTTAGTCATCCTGCCGTGGCTGTTGGTTAAAAAGGATGTACGATTAAAATTAAACATGTTACGGGGCTTACAGTATTCTGGACTCGAAATCGCCGTGATATTTGCACGAATAATGATGAAAAAGTGTCGTTGGTATGTTACAGAAACGTCGTGGTACACAAGGCGTAGAAGTCAACGTACTGATACTTATCTGGCTTTATGTCAGAACTCCTTCAAGCATAGTTTTCCTGTAATTTAGCGTTTGCAACTCGTGTGCATTTCTTTAGATTTACTGTAACGCATTGTTAATTCATTAATGCATTTTGGTTTTAAGCTATTCAGTGACCAATTTGCCACAAAAGCTATGCTTTGAGGGACATTTTGTCAGATTGGCCCTTATCGAAGTCGTTTCAGTGAACACCGTGACTGAAACGGTCATCAAGGTGCCTAAAGTATAACTTTTACCGACGGTCGCTGCTTAGTTTTTAATAACTAAGGGGCAACATTATGGAAAAGGATATTGGAACTAGGAGGAATGCTTTACTTTGCCCTGCAGCGTGATTCTGGCGGGTGCCTTTCAGGGAGACACGTGTGCTGTCGAACTGCAAACTGAGCATGTATACTTTGAGTAGTCGATTTAATTTGACGCAACTTTGCATGCATGTTTGATAGATGACTACTGGCCTGAGAAGACTATGGGCCACGCCGGAATTGAGGCCACACACCAGAGAAGGTGAGATCTCTTCCATCAGTTTTAAACCGGCCCTCGTTGGAGCCGACCCTGTTACCTGTAGCAGGCGTGGTCAAAGAAGGGCCAAGAATGACACCTTCCTACGGTCGCTGTTCAGTTCTCTAGCTGCATCAGCAACATACAGGATAGGAACATTAAATACTGTTACTGATATCTGTTATTTCAATGTGTTAATGTGGATTTTAACTTATGGTTCTTATTCTGCAGCTGTGGTCCATGCATTTGGCTCCTGGGCCTGCTTTACTGTCCACATCCAGTCGGTATGAGCTTCTCGTGGTCTTAGTGATGGTGAGTTGTGACTTTGATTGTTGGTCAGTGTCATACAGCAAACTGCTGTTTAACTTTGCATTATATGGCATTAGTGCAACATAAATCTACAGTAGAATCTTATTTTCCATCAGGGCAGTTTGGTCCTTGGTCAGGTCCAGACAGATTCCAGTGACCCAGAGACCCTGCCTGGAATGGGGGCTCGTAGCCAAGCCCCCGGTGGTTGGGCCAGCCTTTTCGTGAGCTCAGCACCTGGTGAAGAGCCATGAGGGTCCAGTGCATCATGGATCGTGTGGCAGTGGAAGGCAGAGGCGTTGGGTTGACCCCCAGTTACTGAAGCTGGCTTTAGGGACATGGACCATAACCTCCTTGGTGGGTGGATTGATTTTATTGCAAGTTTTTTTTTTTTTTTTTTTGGTCACTTAAGGAACTTGAGTCTCCTAAAGGCATTTGCTTATGAAGCCTCAATGTTGCTGCCGTTGGTTTGGCCTGGTGTTGATGACACACTTGCCCTCACTGAGAGCTTCGCTCACTTATGAGAACTTCTTGTACTCAAAACTCTGAACTGGGCCTAACACAGATGGTATTGTGGTGTTTAGATTTTTGGGTGGATTGTAACGAGCTGATCTTTCAGGTTGGGGATTGCGGCGCCGCTGCCTTTCGGAGTCACCCCACATCGCCACAGCTGTGTGAACAAGTAAGATGCATGGGTTTGGTTCTGGTTAACTTGATTTACGGTGACCCATCTGAATGGATCATGTCTAGTTAACGTCTGCAGCGGGTGCTGGGGGGTACGGAACTGTTAGTTGCCCTCCCCTCGCCGCATGCTTTCCAAGGAGCAGGGCCCTTCCTGTGGACCCTGTTCACGATCAGCATGCCAGAGCATTATGGGGAAAAGGTCTGAGGCTGTAGGCAACAGTGCCACCAGCCTTCAATTCTCCAACAGTCTCGCTGCAAGCAAAAGCACAAATAGATGGTGTTTAGCTGTTCAGGAGCCGTACCTTCATGTTTTTTCCCTTTTTCTCTCAGGATGGGACTGATCTGCTGGGGCTGTGCTGGATTACTGCAGGTATACATTCATATCCTAATATAGTAGTCTTGTTTCCAATGACTGGTCATTGATGTGAGAATTACTCTAACTGGACTGTTGGATGACAGTTGCGGATATGGGACTGAGACCAGCACCAGTTGATTTATAACCTTAAGGGCATTGAGCAGGGGTAATAGCCCTGGTAGTCAGTGTTGAGCAGGCTTTCCCATTCCTGTCCTCCTGTGGGTGTAGGGATGGGCCATGTGATATTGAGACTTAGACTCTCTGCCTTCTCTCTTCCAGGTTTTGTGGTTGGTTTGCTGTGATCCAGATTCCAAGGTGTGTATGTTCACCTTCTGCTTTTGTTCTATGGCTTCTGGTCTGTGATGACAGCGTAACTAATGGCAGACTGCTGGATGAAGCTTGCGGATATGGGACTGAGGCCAGCATTCTTACCCAGGATAGTGGGTGTGGCTCCAGAAGTCTACTGCGTGTATTGACATGTTTGTCTTTTCCGTTACTTCTCAGGTGTGGTGCGGAGGGCTGAGCTGACACTGAAGTGAGACCACCAGCAGCTATGGTGTGCTGCTCCCCAACCTCAGCCCCTTCTGTTACTTTTATTTCCCTGCAAGTTATAGTCTGACTGTATGCCATGCATGTGACAACCCTTATCTGCTCTATTTGTGGAAGCAGTTTCATTGTATGCTTACAATGACAAATGTGTCAATCTGATTATTGCGCTGTCTATAATCTAAAGGACGTTTGACCAGAAATGTAGCTCTAAGTCTGTTATAAGAATTAGCTGGAATACTTGACAAAATACCATGAACTTTAATACCTGTCTATCATACATGAAACAAGGCAAATGATCAATAAAGAATCTGGATGAGCCACTGAAGAAAGGAGCTGGACTTTATTACACCAGTGTTTCCCAATGTGGTCCTTGGACCAGGAGCCAGTCCATTTCTGCCCAGGAGAAAACAAAACCACATGCTGCCTGCAGGTCCATAAGGACTAGGACCGGGGGGGGGGGGAGGAGATAGGAGCTGCATTGCATAATGCAGTTCCTATGTACCAAAGCAAAGGTCCTCGGGTATTAAATTCCACCATGACTTGCATATAGTGAAGACACAGCCACCTGAGAAGTTGCTTGTATTAATACAGTGACTAGGCTTCAGCATGCGAAGATGCAAGGTATGTTAAAGGAGCAGCTCATGACAGCGAAACAGCCTTAAAAAAAAGCACTTATGTACACACAAACTCATTCCATAGGTGGTTATAATTTAAAACCCATCAGCACTTTTTCTCAGCCCCAGCTTCCGTTCCTGTGCCATGTGGAACCATTAGCTCAGCCCTGGCCTGTGCGCAATCAAATCTTGATCTCGCCGGAGAACAGGGGCATCAGTTCTGGGCCTCCGAGGGGAACTTAAGCTCTGCGATCTCAGAGTCAGGAGAGCTGCCACCACTGCGGTCGCTGTACGTGTCTCTGCAGGGAGAGGAACGGGCTCCAGTCAACGGCCCAATCTACCCCCAGCACTCGTGCTCTGATAACGGCATTGGCTCTTTTTCATCGGACTTTGACCATTAACCAGCCAGACTCTTCAATAGGAGAGATTATAGCATGATGTCAATCACCAGCTGCACAAGACCGCTCTGCCCACATTTTTCTGTGTCTCCTTCTGAAGAGGCGCCGGTTACCTTGGCGACAGACGGCATCCCTTGAGCAGGTAGCTGTGCAGTTTTCCAGCAGCGGCCAACAGGAGGCCAAGGTAGGGAGGGGAGGGTTTGATGGGTCGGGAGGTAAACTCTGGGTGGTACTGTACCCCCACGAAGTAGGGATGATCTAAAAGACAAGGCACCTGGTCAGAACCTTAGCACCAGGAGCCTTGGTATTTAACACTGCCCACAACTGTAGCTGGGAGGCTTCTTGGCTGGAACTGGTGGGACCAGAGAGGTGCAGGGGACTCACCATCCAGCTCAATGACCTCCATCCTCTCGCCCTCCACATCCTGCCCGACAAAACTGAAACCTTTGTCCTCAAAGTGCTGTTTCAGGTCTGGGTTCACCTGGGGGGGGAACAGATATAAGCTTAGTGACAGAGAGCCCAGCGATGGAAGGAGACCCAAATATCACAAAGTGTACATACTTCATTCAAGTTTCCTTCCAGAAAATGGTGAATTTATATTGATGTAAAACTATCTTGGTTTGTGAATCTCTTTCTCAAATCCTATGAACTCTGTATTATGTGCATCCAACACAGTAAATGTCATCAGCCTCTATAGCAGGGGTGGGCAATCATGCAGAACGGGCCGCTGTGTATGTGGGCTTTCGCTGCAACTCCCATCATTAATTAGAGGACTGATTGGCTCAAGAGTCCTCACACCTGGGTTTGAACAGCTGACCTACAGGTTATCCCTAAAACCTGCACACACACTGTCTCTGTGCAGATAAGATTGCCCACCCCTGCTCTTCAGTAAGAAACCAACGTACAGTCTGACACTAAACAAAGAGCTTTGCAGAGTGTCGTGCTCATTAAACCGTTGGATTAAAAACAATTTTAACCACCAGGGTCACATTAGACCCAATTCAGTGAAACAGACCAACCTATATCAACACATTTAAAACAGAACAGAAGGGAAGCAAGGCAGCACCCCCACTTGAATGTTTTTCTTTTTTTGATTGGGGGGGGGGTGTTCTGCAGCTTTGAGCATGCAGGTCTTCACAGATTCTGAGACATGGTTTACAGTAGCTTCAGCTTAGTCAGACTGCCCTCCTCTGGTGCTGCCAAACAGGTCATTGTCTTTGCTCTGTTGCCCTTACAAGCCATTGTACTTTTCATCAGGGCAAGGGTGACAGTGGCACTATATTATGCTCATTATGCACTATAGTGCTCCCTCAACTGGAGAAACTAAGAATAGCATGGCTTTTAAAGTTGTGATGCAGGATTTTTTTAAATCATTACATCCAAAATCTTGCATGCCAGATTAGAAATTTTAGCAATATTTTCCCAAGCTGACAGGCTGCAATCAGCCCACGGCCCTCCAGTCCAATAGCCGTGCAACACATTCAGGTAGAAGTGAACGGCGAGCCGGTCTCACCTCAAACCGGTGCCGGTGTCTCTCGTCAACATGGTCAGCATCTCCATACAGCCTTCCTGTGAAAGAACAGAGCAGCAGCCATGAGTGTGTATCCCCTGGTAGCAGACTGGTCACATGACCCCCTGATTTAAGATGGCCGCCCCAGTGCTTACTCAGAACACTGTTACCACTCTTGAAGATTGTGCGCCTCTTTCCCAGCCTCATCGTACCGCCCATCTGTCCAGGGTTGTGCTCCGGCATGTCAATCACCTGGGGGAAACAATCAGATATCAGAATTATGGCCACCTGGGGGGGAAAAAAACTGCAGGTGGGGGAAGAATGGCATCATGGGATACGTACTACAGGATGCTTGGACTCTGGGTCAAACTCCGTCGAGTTCGCATCTGTTGGGACAAAATGATACGAGCTCAAGGGCTTGCTTTATTGGGAAATCTGATAAAACACTTAAGATTCAATTTTTGTCAGAGTCAGATTGTGGCCCAGAGCCAGAAAACGACCAGCCACAACCAGTAAAGACAGGTGAGGCAAATGGACGGAGACTCACCTTGCCAGCCCAGAACATTCCGGGCAAACTCACACACGGCCAGCTGCATGCCAAGGCACACACCTGCAAGGATGCACAGACATATAGTGATTCTCTCATGAGCCCCTTATCACAGCCAAACTGACTGACCGGTGGGGACAATGCAGACCAGTGTTAAACTGTGTGGCACTTACTGTTACCCCATCTGTAACGAGTTATTCTTTGCTCACCTAAAAATGGTTTCTTCTGCTTTCTTGCCCAGCTAATGGCCTGAATCTTGCCCTCTGTGCCTCGAACTCCAAACCCGCCGGGGACCAGGACACCACTGTGGGCACAGAAGAGCAGCTCGCAATCCTGCCCCACTGAATCTGACCAATGCCCTCCCAGTCACGTGAAAACACAAAGCACCCCCCCTTTATGGACACACACACTCCTATACGATACAAACACAGGCTTCTGAGAGAGACGGGAAGCAACACTGTGGTTCCGGAGTAGTATGGGCATGTACTGCATACGCCTCCCACCAGGGCGGCGATCACGTACCCAGCACTGCAAAGCTTCTGCCATGCCTCATGGTACTTCACAGGCTCCTGCTGCAGCGTGGCCGGCTCCAGATCCGCTGAATCGATGTACTGCGGAGGGAGGAACAGGTCCGTTATCAACCAGCCATTTGGACCATAGTGACAGAGGATGTGCCTGCATTTGTATTATTATTTGTTTTTTTGTTTTTTTTAATTCAAATTAAAGAAGATGTAACATTGATCTTTAAATGAATCCCACTCATTTCCTAAGATATTCCAGATTTATTCTGTCAGACAGCATAACCCATAGTCAAACACAGGGGTTAGCTAACTGACCACAGCAGAATGCATGGATGCTTAAAAACACCAACATCGGCCAAGCGCACAGTCCAGCCAATGAGTCTGAGGACAGGGCAGGGAGGACGAGCGATGCACACCTTGACCTCCAGCTTGTAGTTGATAGCCAGCGCCGAATGCTCAAGGGCCTTGATGACCGAGGCGTACGAGTCAGAGAATTTGGTGTACTTCCCCACCAGAGCGATGGAGCAGTGTTCCAGGAGACGGTCAGACCTGTGGCAAGGCGGGGTCAACAGGTTTAGTATTATTATTATTCTATTGCTGTATGTCAGGGCACACTCATCACTTAGCTCTGAAACGCACGCTGATGTCCCAGTGCGCAAAGGCCATTTGGGCCTGACATGCAGACAGACATGCAGCATCCCAGGGCTCCGCAAATAAGCAGGTCAGCTCTCATGTTTCACAGAAACTCTCAAAAACTACTGGTGTATGATCATTGTGTGCGATTCTCCTGAAGGGGCACAGCATCCACAGCCCTCTGCAGCTCCGGAGACAAGCCCACCTGTCAGACATCTCCTTCCACTTGGTGAGCATCTTCCGGGGCCTCGTCTCAATGGGCAGGTCCAGCCTACGGCAGAAGTAGTCCACCACGCCCTGGTCCTCCAGCAGCAGTGGCACGCGGTAAATCGATGTGACATCATGGACGCAGATCACCTGGACAGGCAGAGGGGGCGCCGTCTGGCTTGACTGACTGACTTACGGTGTCTGATCGCACAACACAAGCCCTTTGCGTTCCAAGCGAAGTGCGACTTTCGCAAAGCCAGACCATCAGGCACTGGCGAAGGTGTGCTTCAGTGACAGGTGCATTGTGGGACAAGACTAACCTGTTCGGGCTCCACATGACAAAACATAGATATCTTCTCCTTGACGGCAGTGTCCAGCGGCGTAGCACACCGACACACGACCTAAAAATCCAAACACACGTGCTCAGATCACGCGTGAGGGAGCATTTCTGCCGATATCCTTTAAGTGCGGCGGTTTGGAAGGATAAGACGACAGATGACCTACCAAGTCTGGAGACAGCCCTAACCCCCGGAGCTCGCGGACGCTGTTCTGTGTTGGTTTTGTCTTCTGTTCCCCTGTGGCGCTCGGCTGAGGAGGTGGGGTACCAGAGACATTATATGATGAGCATTACGTCAAAGAGACACCTTAAAGCCTGCTGTGTTAAACCACACCAGACTATTCAGTGTAAAAGTCAGAGTTTAAGAATGCCACCCATGATTTCACTCCCTTTAGGGAATTACCGACTCAGTGACAGACACAGGCTAACGCGGCACAGCGTCGGCCTCTGGCCTGTGCGGCACAGCGTCGGCCTCTGGCCTGTGCGGCACAGCGTCGGCCTCTGGCCTGTGCGGCACAGCGTCGGCCTCTGGCCTGTGCGGCACAGCGTGCCGACAGTGGGGACGCGTCCCTTACCTGCGGCACCAGGCTCACGTGGATGTTGCAGAAGTTCTCCCTCTTGACCTTGAACTGGAATTGCCGGAAGGCCTCGATGAAGGGCATGCTCTCGATGTCACCTACGGTGCCGCCCAGCTGGGGACGCAAATGGGACACGGCCTGAGTCCCCTCCCCATCACCCTGCCACTCCCTTCTCAACAGAAAACCATCATGCTGCGCACGGCACTATAGCCTGTGCTGTTCACTACGCCGACTGCACACTGCTGCACGTGCTGTTCATACTGTACATGCCGAACTGTCATCTCACTGATTGCTGCAATTCATGATGTACATTCAGAGCACGTCCCCGCCCTTTGCTCAGCCGGGCCGCATGCCGAGGGGGGGGGGGGGACATACCTCAATCACGCAGACCTGGGGCTCCAAGCCATCGTCATCCACAGGGATCCGGGCCTGACGCATCACCCACTCCTGGATGGCGTCGGTGATGTGGGGCACCACTGTGGGGTGAGGGGGGGGGGACATTATGAGAGACACACAAACCCCAAGTTTGTGCCGTCCACTGAGGCATAAAAGCACCCAGCATTAAATAAGTGGGCAGGTCACATCTGGCAAGGGGAGAAGAAAATAAAAAGCAAGCACT